CGGTTTTCTTAAAACAACACTTGTTTTTGTTGTTGTTGCCATGAGAGGTGCCTACCTCAATAAAGATTTTTTTTTTTTCGGTTAGTCATTTCCGAATGTCTGCTGCAGCACTTAACGGAACAAAATAAACATGTTTTCCTTCTTTGAGCTCCTTCGATTATTTTGCATTTCCCAGTGAAAGGTTGAAATGCGAGTGTGCATACCTGAATATTCCTGTTTTTTTGCCTTCGCAAAAAAAAATAATAATCACAGCCAGAATGATTCTAGTGTCAGAAAAGAAAGCGTACTCACAAACAGAATAAATATCATTGGTGTATCCGTAAAAAGGCTTTTAAAAGGGCCCCTTAGCCAACGCGAGAAACATTATAAAGGATTATCGAATAAGTTAAACGATATTTCATTGAAATATATTTGACATTGTTCCAGAAAGACATTTTATAGCCTGAAGGTTTTCAATCTCGTTTGCATTACACTTAGTGAAGCTACATGAAATTACAGTCACAGCGAGAATTTCAGTTAAAATGCACATTGTCCTTCAAAATGAATAGTGCTTGCACGCTTCTTTGTTTCATATACAAGATTGATTGATTGATACGTGAGGTTTAACGTCCCAAAACCACCTTATGATTATGAGAGACGCCGTAGTGATGGGCTCCGGAAATTTCGACCATGCACCTGAGGTTCTTTAACGTGCACCCAAATCTGAGCACACGGGCATACAACATTTCCGCCTCCACTGGAAATGCAGCCGCCGCAGCCGGGATTCGATCCCGCGACCTGCGGGTCAGCAGCCGAGTACCTTACATATACAAGATAATATCTGTGCGTAGCATCAGCAATTTCACTTTGTGAAAGATACTGCGATGATTTATTGTATTTACTCGTTCGTTACCAGTGCTGCTTTTTGCATTGTTGCTTCAGCTGCGTTAATTAGTGCGCAAGCCATCGCTATCGCTGTTTCTAAGTAACCTTTTATTGTAAAACCTCGCATGAAAGGTTGATTGATTTATGTTAACTGTCGTGCACTAGCAGGGGATCACAGTGTGTTTCATGTGCGACAGCTCCGAGGGAATTCGAAGTGACGGGAGCAGAAAATACTGCAATGTGCGTTTTATGACCTGGTTAACGAAATAAATGAATAGATGTTAGTTCCTACTGCAGTGGTCGCGGTGATTTTGTAATATAGAAAGATGTCACAGGTTCGGATGCTGATGCTGTACTGCGAATAGAACGGAATGAAAAAAAAAAAGAATAATTTTAAGCCGCAAAAAAAGTGACTGGGCATACTATATATCTAAGGACGTTAAAAAAATAAACGCCAGTAAAGTCGAGGCTAATGCAATGATGAATTCTATTGCACCAAACGATTGCGAGGACAGTAAAAATAGAATGTACAGGTTAGCCTTATAAAAATAAAAAAACAGCTTTTTTTTTAATGAGACCGTGAGGCATTCAGTATTTCGCGGTTTCATTAAAAACACCCCCTTCTTTCGTAAAGCTGTCTGATTGTTTTAAAGTTATTATATTTTCCTGGTAATATATAAGATTGATGAACATTTTAAATCCATGAAACGTTTATGCCTAGACAAATACAGCGCGCGCTCGCATTTTTCAGGACCACCTCATTTCTGCCCCTTTAAAAAAGTACGATTAGCGTAAACAGGAAATATATTTCGGGCTCTTTCACCACGTGATGCCAGAAAATTACCGAAGGACCCCGGGACGTGAAATCTCTCAGCTTTGGGATTCCGCTGCGGCGTTTCCGTTTTAAATCTTACAGCCAAGTGCGCGTGCACGGCGTTCTGAAGAGCTTCTCGAGCCGGGACATTTGGACGCGCGTTTCGCGTTTATTTTCGGTCAGTCGATCGAAGAGCGGCAGAATTTGGAAAAACATTCGAGGCCCCGCGCATGGCTCTTGATCGCCCCCTGCGGGCGGGCGAAGGAATACGTGGTTCAACGAGCCGCTGTCACGCTGTGTTTATTGCATCAGCCAGAGACCGCTGTCGAGACGCAGAAGTGGTGCGTGTGGGGCTCGAAAAAACCGTGTTTATTTTTGTAAAGCAAGCATGGTTTGTCGGTTTGAGGCCGTGCTCTTGCCGAAATTTCGATAGGAATAACATTCCGACAGATTACCACGTGGTGTGCGAATCGATTGCGGGCGAGAAAGTCAGCTATAGGAGATGCCCATTTTGAAGTGCGGGGTGCCATACGACGCCGTATGCTGTCTTAATACGTGGTCGTTGCTTGAGGTAACGCAGCCAAACCACGAATAGCATAGCAATCGGTAGCATATTGAGCGCTAGCTTGCGACAAGCCTTCTTCCTCTCGTTTTTCGAGCGCCTTGGTGATGATGAGCGTGGAGCACTCTAAGGACCAGTGCTCACGAAAGAAAGAGAAAACCGAAGAGAGAAAAAATAAATAGACGGAAATAAAGAAAAAACAAAGAAAACTGAAAAAGACAAAAAGAAGGAAAGAGTGGAAAAAAGAAAGAGAAAGCGAATAGAAAAAAATTCTGCCCAACTCTGCGCTTCCTCCAGGATTGCTTCCCGTGGGACATAGCTGCAGTAATTTTTGTTGACCTCGAGCCAAATGCTTCGAAACGGATTATCCCAACGAAGGATAACCAATACATAGAATAGTAGCGTGGGCACAAGTGGTATATCTTGGCTGTTCAAATTCCGACAGAATTCATTTTGCGTATGGTATTTCTAATACATTAGCATAATCAATTTAGTTGGAATGACGTGCCACAACCAAGATATGGTTGTGAGAGACGCCGTATGTAGTGGAGGGTTTCGGAAATTTTTACCACCCGGAGTTCTTCGGCGCAAAGTATGGCCTGTTGATGAATTGGTTGATTCGTAAATTCAGCAGACGCGTTTCAACTGCGCGAACAAGAGAAAACGTTAGAACATGGAAAAACGGGCACACGATGCGCAGTAGAAGTGCGGTAGTGTGCGTTTCGCATCCATTGAAAATGCGGCCACCTTGGCCAGGATTTGATCTCTCTCGAGTTGCTGAAGCTTTAAGGACTACACCCGTGAGCACACGCGTAGGTTACCGTTTTCCTTGGGAGCGCACGTCTTGGCGCTTGCCTCGTCAGTTGACGACGTTTTTGAATCAGTTCATATCGAGTACCAGTGTTCATTAAGCGCTTGTTGATGTCATCGTTGCTCGGGGTTCACCGTATGCGGTGTCCGGCTATAACTACTTCAGCTACCACTGGGGTCAAGTTAAGATCGTGGACGTTAGTCGTCGGGATGGAGGTGCACCACGAGGCGTCAACATGGGTGCGTACACGTCAGCTGTAGCTGCTGAAAGCCAATAGACGTTGTGAAAGCTCTCTTACATCTATGCACAGAATAAGGCCCACTACTTCTGTGGAAAGACGGTTCACCTTCATATTATATCAATCAATCAATCAATCAATCAATCAATCAATCAATCAATCAGTCAATCAATCAATCAGTGACAGGCTGACATGGCTCCGAGTTTCGCGCATCGGTGCGATGCTGAATCCGCATTGGCAGCCGTAATTAACTTCACTGCAATGCACTTGTTGTAAAGTTGGCTTTTTTTGCAGTAACACTATTACTGCAAGAAAGCCACATTTTAAGGGTCACTTACTATTCGAAGGCAGTCATATACACGTCGAAAACGCTTCATGAGATAGTCAATTAGCACCAAAACGCAAGGGAGTGCTCTGTTTTTACATTCCGTGCGAGATGGCAACACTTCTATATTGTAAGTGAGTGCGGTAAATAGGTTTACGCACTCCTAAGGAAACCTTTCCGAGTTGAAGTTGGAAGTTTGCTTCCCGCAACTGCCCCATTTCACATTTAAGAATGAATAAATGAGGGATTGAAAACTTTCAATAATGAGCTTTTAGACCCATGTACCAGATGGTGGTGGTTCAGTTTTCACGGTAATTCATATTGTTTTCTCGCCGATGTAAAAATAAGATAATACTGATGTCCAGAAAGCCGGTGACACTATCTTAACTATAGCAAATAAATCAAAGTTACCTATTGCCGAATAATGATACAATCATACTGTAGCGCGCTCGCATACATTCATGAACACTCACTTTTATGACAAGCGTTAAAGCTGCAGTTATCAAACTGTAATTTAATTAGAATGGCTAATGGCCAATTTTTTTTAGAAAAGTGTGTAAAAAGTGGGGGAGCAGTTTTAAATGACGGTCGCTTTGCGTGCCAAGGTATCCACATTTTGAAAAAAAAAACAAAGGCAAAAAAACGTTAGTGCGCTCCCGTATAATGAAAGAACCTGCACAGAAGTGGTACAAATAACGCATGTCTGATAACCTAATTATGTTTTTGGCATGTCAAGTCTCATAATGCATTTTTAAATCTTGTGTTAAATCTTCGTTCGCTTCGCGAAATCACACATAAACGCACCTGCCCGTATATGCAATGTTCAAGATGTAAAGCTGGCTTTTTTGCAGTATTACTGTTACTGTGGAAAAGCTACGTTCGAGGGCTCGTTTGCAGTTTGCGAGCAATCGCGAAACTGTCAAGACATTTTTCCTACATTCGGTAGTTCACAAAGGCGCGAGTAAATATTTTCTGCATGTAAGGTGGCTACGCTCTAATAGTATACGTCGATTTCGTGGTTGGTTTACCAGTCCCACGAAGCATCGCGGAAGCACTGAAACTTTCCTCTTACTAACAAAAGGTACTTATTTTCCTTAGTCCAATGATCGAGCTTGGTTAGACATTATTTCATTTCTTTCTGCATCGTGAACAATACTGCGCCGCTCCATGCTGCACGCTGTGGACTTATGTCCAAGTCGTCGTAGTCAGTGTCACCATGATTAAAGCACGTCTAGTGCGTCCTCGCGTAAGGCAGCATTGTCTGTATACTTCAACATCGTCACCACGAGTTTCAACCCTTCGCGCGCTGCTAGGGTTTCCGACAAAGAAAGCTTCCCGTCCCGCTCCGCCAGGCGTCTTCCGGGAGATCCCGGCTCTCGTGGCGCCCTCCGGAGGGCGCTCGGCGGAGCGCGGTGCTTCGACCGGCGCCTGCGCGCTGTACCCGCGGCAGTGGCGACGGCCGCGCAGGCCTCGCGGCGGCCATCTTGGGCATGGGAAACGAGGCGAGCGCCGAGCTGCCGCCGGGCCGGGTGGCAGCCGCGGCGGGGCCCCGCGGAGGCCCCGCCGCGCCGCCCGACCTCGACCTGAGCAGTCTGTCCGAGGCCGAGCGGGCCAAGATACTGTCGGTGATGGCCCGCGCCCAGGACCTGGAGGAGCCGGCGCCGCCGCCGCAGCCACCGCAGCGGTAAGCACCCACCGCAGCCACTGCGGCGACACGGGCGCGCGAGACACCGTGCTCTCTGCGCGTGCAGGGAGCGATGTCCTCTGTGTGGTGGCTCGGACCTGGAGCTCTCTGGCCGGTGCGTGGACTGTGGCCGCGCGGCGTGCGCGCGTTGCGGCTCGGCGTTGCCCCAGCCCGACGGCAAGGTGAGGATGCGCGCGTCTCCGCAGCGGCGAACGCGCGCGCCGCTCCGCTCACGCCGCGTACCTGCCCCGCCCCCGTTCGCCGGTCGCAGAGGCCGTGGGTGTGCATGGAGTGCCAGTCCAAGTTCCGCCAGTCGCAAGAGGCTCGACGTCAGGATGGCTTCCGGCAGCCGGCCCCGATGTCCAAGGCACCGCCTTTAGCAGCCATGCAGCAGCAGCAGATGCAGCGCACCGCCGGCACGATGCATCAGCAGCAGCACTATCCACCGGCCGCCTCGCAGCAGCCGACGCAGCCGCGCGCCACATTTGGCGTGCAGCGTGGCGGATCTCAGCAGCAGTCTGCGGCCGTGCAGCAGAACCATCAGCACCAGCCGTACCAGCAGCAGCAACAGCAGCAGCAATACCAACAGCAGTACCAGCAACAGCAGTCGCAGTACCAACAGCAGCAGCAGTTCGCCGCAGCAGCACCTATGCAACCTGCCGCTACGCAACCTGCCGCCACGCAGCAGCCTGCCGGGACGCAACCGGTGGCCACGCAGCCTGCCGTGCAGCAGTTTACAACGCCGCAGCTTACCACGTCGCAATACGGCTCGACGACGACGACGCAGTTTGGAACGCCCACGCAGCAGCCTAGTACTGCCGCGGCGCAGCGTGTCACAATGCCGCACGCCGAACAGCAGCCTCCTTCTTCTCCCGCGCAACAACGTGCCTCTTTGCAGTCATCTGTCATGCAGCAGCGTCCGACCGTGCAATCTGCTACCATGGCTCAACAGCAGCAGTCGCAACAGCAGCAGCAACACCAGCAGCAACACCAGCTGCAACAACAGCAAATGCAGCAAATGCAACAACAGATGCAACAACAAATACAGCAACAACAACAGCTGCAACAGCAGCGGGCAGCTGCGCAGCTTGCCGATGCCCAGTCTGCGGCAGCTGCGCAGCAGGGAGCTGTCTCGTCTACGGCCACGGCCCAGGCCGAGCAGCAGTCGGCGTCGACCGCGGAGGACGAGCAGGAGGCCGAGCGGCGGCGGATACAGCGCGAGCAGATCGAGCAGCACAAGAGAGAACAAGAGGAGCAGCGCCAGGCCGAGCTCAGCCAAGCGGAACAAGAGCGTCGGCTCGAGCGTATGCAACAAGAGCAGCAGCGAAGGCTGCAGGCGCTCGCCTCACGGCCGCCGCCTCAGCCACTGCCTTCGCAGCAGGCCGAAGACGAAGAGAGCGACGAGGAAGAGTTGCCCGCGGTCGCCGCGTCCAGCCACGAAGCGCACGTAGAGGCTCTAGAGGCGGAGGCGATCGCCGAGGACAAGTTGGCCAACAGTGGCGGTGGAGGCATTCCGCGCACGGTGCCGCTGCCAGGTCGCGCCGACTGGTCGCCGGTGAGCGATCTGTCACCCATACTGGACGTGTCGCCTTCGTTGGAGGCAGCCGAGCAGGAGCTGATGGAGCAGTTCCACGAGGAGCGCCGTATGCCGCGTGCCACAAGCGGCACCATCTCGGGTATGCTGGCCGACTTCAACAAGGCACTCAGCCTGGCCTCGCCACCGCGCACACCGCGCCGCCAGCTGCCCGAGCCGTCTCCACCCGTGCCTGCGCCACGGTGCCTGTCGGCAGCGCCGCCGGCGTGCAGTCCATCGGTGACGCCAGAGCCGGCCGAGTCACCCGCCAGCAGCGAGCCGGACGCCAAGGTGCGCCGGCGGTTGCCGCCGCTGCCACGCGACCAGGAGCCCGTGCCCGCGCGTCGCGCCAAGGACCGCGCGCGAGTGCTGTCGGCACCGGAGCGGCCCAACAGGCCTCAGCCACCTCCTCGGGCGTGCTCCGTGGACGGCGGCTTGGCCGCCTCTTCCGGCGGGGTCAGCGGGATCAGCGGCATCAGTAGTGTGATTGGCACGGTCGGCTTGTCGAACACCATCAGCACGTCTAGTACAGCCGGCGCCGTCGGAACCCTCGGCACTCTCGGAAACCTCGGGACCTTGGGTTCCATAGGCAGCGTTGGTTCCATCGGCGCGCTGGGATCGACGGGCCCGATCAGTACAGTGGGCACAATGGGGACTGTAGGCACTATGGGAACTACGGGCACAATGAGTTCGGTGGGCGCGATGGGTTCGGTTGGCTCAATGGGGTCTGTTGGCACGATGGGCAACGTCGGCACAGTGGGTACAGTAGGCAGTCGTCTCCCCTCGTACATGAACTCGCTCAAGCAGCAGCTACGCGAGGAGCTGCGCAGCGTGACCGACGAGCGGCGGCGCCTGCTGGAGCTGCGCGATCGAGACATGCGTTCTGAGGGCGACCTGGCCGCTCTGCTCGGCTGGTCAGGACGTCGCCGGACCACCGACCAGTCCTGGACTACTGTCCCGGAACCGCGACGATCAACCGCCGCCGGGTGAGGACGACCACGCGCGCGGTGGCTCGTAAAGCCGTCCGTGTTACGGCCTTGCTTTGTATTCTTACACCATGTATAACGCAGGTCCGACCCATGGCGAACGCGGCGGCGAGGCGACAAGAGCCGCAAGCCGCGCTCCTGGCATCCGTCGCCGTACGGCTCCGAGGACGAAGAGGACAGCTGCGAGCAGCGCAAAGCGTCCATTAAGGCCGAGATTGCCAAGCGAAGACAGCAGATCGAGGAGAATGCCCGACTGCACGCCGAACTCTACAAGCTGGCGCGGTTGCGCCAAGGTGAGTCTTAGCGGAATACATGACGCTTCAAGTGCTTTATTGGAGTGATCCGAATAACCTACATCGTCTGTCATCTTCGCTTACAGTGGTGGTTGCCTTTCTAGATTTCTGTTTCGTGCGAGATTAACAGGTGGTTACAAGTTTTCATCTCTGAAACTGTTCACTTATGCCCTTCTGGAAGCCCGTTGTCCAAACTCGGACACAGTGTTCGTTTGGCCAACTGGGCTACTGTGCAGAAGGCTGGAAAAAAATGATAGCATAAAGAGCTAGGGGTGGAATGAGTAGGCTTCGCAGTAACTGGAATTTTATTATTTTCATTTTGATTGATGGCGCTTTATGGCATTTGTTGTTCCAAAATTTGTTTATTCTTTGCCTGCCATCCCAAAAGACGCTCATGCGCACACATAAATCATGTTTAACACGCACACGATGTCTGTTGACTCTTTCCAGGCTTTTCATGAAAGCTCGCGAGAAGCTTGAAACAAATTCAGCAAGGCTTATAGAGTCACACCACATTTGAAAGCAAAAAAAAAGCTAACAAACAAAACGACTACAAGCTTTTTGGATGTGCATTGCGTGTATATAGCTTAGCTCTTCTTCATTGTCATTACACTACATTTTCCCGTCATTAAAGTATTACGAATTTCTTTACAGTTGATACTACAAAACAGACGTACATTCACATTTTTTTAAGATTTGATAATAATAAAAAGGAACACAGCAGAGAAGAACCAAGACAAAGAAAAGTTAAGTACACGCTCATTCGGTTTGCTACCCTGCGCTGGAAAGAGGAGCTAACTAAAGTAGCGAAACGAGAGAGAGAAGAAGAAACGAAGCGTTCACTTGAAGGGCCCCTGTAGCGTGCTCGCGCGGTGATTTAGACTCAGACACGAGTTTTCGCACATAAAGTAAGCCCGATTACTCTCTCTCTCTCTCAAGTATTTCGACTACGTTAATTCAATAATTACTAAAATAACTTATAGAAAGGACCTTAATCCTTCATTGGGTATCTGGCAGAGGCGTTGGCGTCCGTGTGCCCCGGTGCATTATTTCGGTTTTGTTTCAAGCGCGGCCGAAGCGGATATCGGAGGCCACATAGAAAGGAGCGTGGGGTTGAGATCCTCTCCGACAGGTGACGCAACAATCCCAATCTTTCTTTGAACTCCCATTTGGTATGGATGAAGTTTATTCTCCCATTTACCAACTCAAGCAGTTAATTTTCACTAATTAGCCTAGTAGTTATTAGCCATTATCTGACGTCGTTATGCTCCGATATCGTATGTATCCAATATAACTTTTTGTTTGAACCACAGGCGTGGATTGATGTTCATTTTTATGGCAGAGCTGTTATGCTAGGGGTTTGCCGTGTGTCGTAAAAAAAATTATCCCCATTATCGATCGGCACGTGGTCACTCACACCAAGCAGTCTGCGCAGATGGCTAACAGGTTAAACTGAAATAGGCGGCCCCTAACTGGTGCTTGCCGTCCGTCTGTTCTCTTAACCTTTAGCGGACCAACGGGGTGAGTATGGGATTCGCTCAAGTTATGCGGCACACGCGTGCTATATACACTTTTTCACAGGAGGGAAAAAACACCGCCATGATGGGCTGCGAGCGGGAGTACAAAGGCTGAGGGCGCAGCCTTGTCAGTGCATTTTTGAGGGGTCACGCCAATTCGCGCTGCCCAAAAGAGGACTATGGTGGTGCCCACGGAGGCGTTTTTGAAAAGGTCTATAGGAGAGAGCAGGCCTATCCATGTATAATATGATATAGCAAGGAATGAGAACAAGGAAGCAAGTATAACAAGTGTCATAGCAATGACTACCAGCTACGGGCCAGTACCAGCTACGTGCCTGCCAGCTTTGCTGTTACCCAGCCTTGCACCACTTAGTGCAAAATGCTCCAATTTTTTTTTCCGGAAAACAGGAAGTAAGGGTCTTACCAGGTGTTCTTTGCTGAGATACTGGAGTGTCAGTGACGTTCTTGTCGCTGAAAAATTCTATTCACTTCAGCAATTTTCAGGGTGCTTGGCAAACTAAGTTTGCTGGGAGCACCCTTGCCACAAGTGTTCGTCCGCTATTCGCATTCAAAACGCCTTCAATGACGTCACTGTTTTTCTCACATTGAAGGAGGAGGATAAGTGAGCGTTGACAAGCAACCATGTAGCAGAGAAGCGTTGCAATGAAACGATGTATTTAGATTGACGGTTGGTAACAGCGAGATATGTCTGTTACATTGGGCACATTTCTGGAAACACCCTGTATAACGGAAGCAGATTACACACGTAGCTTAAGAGGACTACGCCTAGCGTGACAGGTGAAGTGTAGAACAGGTTAGCACGAATATCTGATTAAATAAGCCAAGCGCAGTCAGGTGCGGCTGAAATGGGGGGATGACGGGATGGCTCGAGAGCGTGGTGAAACAAAAAGGAAACATTCAGGTACAGAGGACCGGTCAGGTTAAGGCGAACGGCGGCAACGGAAGATCTAGGAAGGAAGCCCTCGTTCCAGACTGGATGCTGACGATAACCTTCTATCGCCAGATGACGATAAACGAACACTGTGATCATACAACAGTCATCGTCATCATGATTCATGATGATTGTATTTGTAGTAAGGATGACCGTAAGAATTTTTTGAAATGCGGTTTTATAGGGTATAAAATACAGAAATATAGAGAAGGGGAAAGATTAGACGAAATAAAAAAGAGAGCCCAGAGTCTTCCAGAGATAAGAGACGTTCTCGGCTCACGCACAGACACTGGGCAGGCGCTTCTCGCTCAGAGAAGTGATAAAAACGCACCGAACAAAGAGTGGAACCAGCCTTCCGAGAAGAGAACTCGCCCTCGTCTGGGCAACAACTGAATGAGTTTGCTTCAGTGACATTACTTCTTCAACGACTTCTCATTACTTTAAAGTCTCCACTTTCCCCAGAACTCTCTGTCACGCAAAGAAAGCACTTTTCGAAGTTTCTTTATGCACAACCGACCTTATTGAAATACTCAAGTTTGTGAAGAGGCACGGTGTGCTTCGTGACTTTTATACATTTTTCGCGGACTGCCTTATCCCCGTCGTTCTCAGTCACATCCATCTGGAGTGGCATGCTAGGCAAGCCGCCAGGCATGCTTCTCCAGTACTCATTAAAGAAGACCCTCATTCGCCCTCTCGCTCCTTCACTCCGCTTATGAGCACCCTGCGAGCGACTCCGACTGAATAGGCGCTTCGCGTGAGGAATATATTAGTGCACTGCTGGCAGGCGAGCCGTCTTTCTGGAACAACCACATGACTTTCCTAGCCGACGTGAGTCGTAGCCTTCGAAACGCTGCACGGAATCGACCAGACCGAGTACATACCCTTTTTACCACAGTGTCACGATATAAACCGCCGCCGAGTAAACCCGACGTGTACGACGAATTATCGTCGTCGCTTACTTGAATCGCGTGAATGACGTTAATCGGTCGCCAGACGCAATGCCTTCTTGTATATAGGCGTCGCAACCTCGCACTCTTCCACGCGATTGCGTTAGGGCCAGTTAATTATTTCGGGAATCCTCTTCTACGCACGTCTGGCAGCCCCCGAATTCCCTGCCCTTGTAACTCACGCACACTCGTCTTCCGTGCGAAACGAATGGCTCTCTACCGAACCCGATAATCTGTGTTGGCCATAACACGGAGCGAGTAGGGCGCTCAAGACAAAAGTAATAGCACAGCAGAAAGAGCGTATAGACGAGACTACGCTTATTTAGTTTTTTTTACGAAGGCAATGTATAGAGGAGCCTATAGTTTTGTTTTGTTTGGCGAAGCACAACGCCGCTTTCCCGCCTTATTTACGGCCCTGCGAAGAAGCCCGGCAGGCTCGTCTCGGCAAAGTTTTCTCACGCAGGCAAACGCCGCTTCGCGACGAGAGACGCATCCGGCTCCAAATCACCGGACGAGGCCTGACCGAATGGTCAGGCCGAGTCACGAAAGGAAGCGGTAACCATCTCAGTCAGAATGACAGGCATGCAATCGAGACTCGTCTGTATGTCAGTACTATAACTACGCTTGTGGAGCGAACTCCGGCCATAACTCCTGCCTGAATGGTTGAATAGTAATGTTTAGTTAACCATAGCCAGTCGTGCGAGCCCAAGGTTTCGGTATTGTCAGAACCTTTTTAATGTCTAGCGCTCTGTCGTGGCCAAACATATATATATCTTTTTCAAACTTCTTGGTCAAAACAGATGAAGGTGCTGTGACCTGGTTGGTTACATGTTGGGTTTAGCGAACACTTGTTGCACTTCGGTTTGTTTATCGTTATACCGTTGTCAAAATAGATAGAGGTGGTACGGTAGCACTTGCAGCACTGTTGGGTAGAAATACCGCTGAACTACCATCGTTGTGATCATCATCAGCATGACTACGCCCACTGCAGGGCAAAGGCCTCTTCCATGTTCCGACAATCAACCCTGCCCAGTGCTTGCCGCTGCCACGTTATATCCGCAAACTTCTTAAACTCATCTGCCCACTTGACCTCCTGTCTCCTTCTCATACGCTTGCGGATATCCTGCCTACGCGCTACGTGCCTGGCCTATGTACATTTATTCTTCTTCATTTCAACTATGATATCCTTAACCCCACTTTGTTCTCTGACCCACTCTTCCCTTTTCGGGTCTCTTGAGCTTACATCGATAATTTTCCTTTCCATCGCTCACCACGTCATTCTCAATTTCTAAGTTCAACCATCTATAAAGAAAGTGACAGAATATCAATAAAATTATTCTTTATTATTATTATTATTATTATTATTATTATTATTATTATTATTATTATTATTATTATTATTATTATTATTATTATTATTATTATTATATTATTATTATTTCATTTGCATACGTACATGGATGCACAAAGAGGGAGAGATCAAGCTGGCAACTGCCACCCGGAGGGGCACAACGCCTGCTCACTTTTTCGGGAGGAGGAAAGAGACAGAGGAAAGGAAGCATGTAAGGCAGGGAAACACGATCTCCCTTGTGCTATTCACCGCAAGCTTACAGGGGGTTTCAGGACCCTAGATAGGGAAAAAGTGAGAGATAAGAGTTAACGGAGAATACCTTACGATTCGCTGATGACATTGCATTGGCGAGTAACGCGGGATATGAATTACAACGCATGGTTACTTAGTTGGACAAGGAAAGCAGGAGAGTAGGCCTGAAAATTGATATGCGTAAAACTGAAGGAATGTGCAGCAGTCCCGGGAGAGAAGAGCGCTTTGCGACAGGTAACGAGGCACTGGAAGTTGTGAAAGAATGCGTCCTATTAGGACAGGTAGCAACAATTGAGCAGGAAAATGAGAGTGAAATAAGCAGCAGAATAAGGATGGGGCGGAGCACATTTAGCAAGCATTTTCAAATCATGAATGTTAGTTTACCCCTATACCTCCAGAGAAAAAGGGATATAACAACCGCATTTTACGATACTTACTTACGCACCAGGAACCTGCAAGCTGCCTGATTACTAACCTGGTCATGAGATAGCAACGCGCTTTTTTTACGGGGGGAGAGCATTCGTATTTTGAAAGAGCATTAAAGGCAATCTGCAAGAAAAGCTTGAGTGCTTCATTGGCATACCTTTTATAAAGAAACTAAAAAAAAAAGCTTTCTAGCCAAGCGTTGTGATCTGTTCACTTCTTGCCAGTATCGCACGTAAGCACACCCGCATATGAATACTAATTTTTAAAAAACACCGCACTAGCCCTAAAGAGTGCTTCGTGGCATTGGTACTGTTAATGCGGCAAAGCTACTTCTACAGCGATAGTTGTCGTGAGATCACAACACGGGTCACACGCGGCGCCCTAGTTGTGCACCACCGCCGCCGGTGTATCGTGCGAAAAAAAAAACCTCAAAGAAAAACCATTAGTGGGATTGGAATCCGTGTCCACTGCATGCCGGCCTGCCATTGAGCTAACGCTGGTGCTTGGGACTCGTTCGCAAACTTGCCTTCGGCAGACTTGATGTTAGGAAAGAATTCGCGTTAATTAAAGTTCTAAAACGTTTTAGAACAGCGTAGGAGCAACAAGGCGTCACACAATGCGAATCGCGTAACGAGTGGGTCGTCCAATGCTCCAACCCACTACAAAAGCTTGTTCTTCATCACTTATTAAATGTGGCACATGCCCATTTCAGGCGTAATTCTCCATAGTCGTCAGCCATTGAATGCAACACAATATTCTTTACAATCGTTTAACGGATACCACGCTTCTCCGAAGAATGACGAAGGATATCACAGTGAATGCCGGCCTACTATGCAGAAATTATGAATATCCATGGGTAGTAGGGACCTTGCATGCGTGCTTATAGCATTTACCCGAATAGTGTTGATAGAAGGCTCTGAAAGGCCGCTTTTCATGCTTACGCTGTGACCGTGCTGCGCCTTCCGCGCAAGCCTGGCTTTTTTTTTTTTTTACAGTGGAGAGCATTCGTGTTTTTACAGAGCATTAAAGGTAAACTTTAAGACAGCCTACAGTGCTTAATTGGCATGCGTTTTTCTGGGAGAAACTCTCTAAAAACTTTATGGTAGCGTTATGTTCTATTTACACCTTGCCAGTATCGCACTCAAACGTACTCCTATATGTATACCAATTTAAAAAAAATACACCGTACTAGCCCAAAGAGTGCTTCGTGGCAACAATACTGTTATTGAAGCAAAGCTACATTTACAGCGAAAGCTTTTATGAGATCACAACACGCCTCAGCGCGGCGCCGTAGTGGTCCACCGCCGCCGTTGTCTGTAACCACTATCATGCGAAAAAAAAAAGGAAAAAGCAATTAAGGACAGTTGAATTTGAACCCAAGTTTACTTCTTGCTAGCCCAGTATTCTACCGCTGAGCTACGCCGGCGGTTGGGACTAGTTCGCAAACTTGCCTTAGGCAGGCTTGATGTCGGGAAAGCAATTTCGTTAGTATGACAAATAAAGCGTTTTAGAACCGCGAAGGAATAACCAGGCGTCACACATTGCGAATAGCGTAACGAGCGGGTGGTCCAATGCTCCAACACATTACAAAAGCTTGTTCTTGATCTCCTATTAACTGTGGCGCATACCCAGTTCAGGCGTAATCATCGTTGTCAGCCACTGCATGAACAATTTGGCTCAAATTTCCTTGCGCAAGTATTCAGCGGATACCACGCTTCTCAGAAGAATGACGAAAGATAGCATAGAAAAAGCCGGTCTAAAACATAAAAAATTAGGATTATTTATGGTGTAGTCGGTACCCAGCAAGTGTGCTTCTAGCATTTACCGAAAGAGTGTTTAGAACAGGCTCTGAAAGGCCGCTCTTCTAGCTCTGGTTGCGGCTGTACTACGTGTTCCGCGCAGGCCTGGTGACTTTAAAAGACTAGTTGAATAAAAGCGGGTAGTCATTCGCTTGTGGGCTAAAGCAGCCGGAAATGGGGGGAGAGGGGGGAGATAGTTATCTTGCTTCTGAACAAACAAACAAAAAAGAGCCGTACAAAAGACGGCAGTACAGCACAGTGCACGATTGTCTACTTTCGTCTTCCAAGTCATGTCGTGCAACATTGAGGCTACTGTTACTGGTACACGCGCGCACCAGTTAGCACACCACCGACGCCGACCGTGTGCTTCACGCCTGCAGGTGACAGCGGAGTGTCGCCCGAGCTGAGCGTCGTGAGCAACGCGACCAGCACGGGCGGCAGCGTGCTCGAGGCCATCGACCAGGTGCTGCGCCAGGAGAGGCGCCGCTGGCCCCCCGCCTCCTCCGCCGGCCCCATGGCCAACGACTCGATGGGGCTCTTGCACCCGGCCGGCGGGGGCCTGGGCGTCAGCGGGGGCCTTATGCACTGCGGCACCAGCGCCGAGGACCGCAGCATGGCGCTCATTGCGTCCACCTTCCCGGACTCTCCCATCTCGTCGGAGGAGGAGGACGAAGAGCCGCCCGCCATGCCGCTGCTGCCGGACATGCCCCGCCGGAGGCGCCTGCACCACCTGATGCCTCAGGTACGGAGCTGCCAGCCGATGGCACAGCGGCCGCTGTGGGAACAGCTGTACTCCGTCTCGCACATCTGGCGCAACGCTGTAAATGCTAGCGAGACTTCTTGCGGTAAGTGCGTTCGCACTAGGAATAGTTCAATCTTTTCACCAACGAGACAGATTTCAACAGCGAAGCTGTTTAAGCCAGAAGTTTGGGCCGTCAGCTCTTCGCAGAAAAGCATCCCCTAGCGATGACGTCACGATGCATCGCCTAGCAAAGTATCGGAGGAAGGAAAGCAGGAAGAGAGGATAAGATGAGGTAGGGGCATCAATGAAAACAACGTAATTTTTTTTTTGGCCAGATAAGATTTGAACGCAAGTACCCATAATCCGTTGGCGAGAGTCGTGATAACTCAGCTATCAAGGCACGATATAGCTGAAGAAGCATTTATGCGAACCTTATGATTAGTTTGCTATAAGTGAAAGAACAAGCGAAAACAAAAGAATAGTCATGCGTTGTATAGCGCAGGAAGGAAGTGGATAAAGGAGGTGAGCGTTGCTTGCACTGGAGGCTCTATGCTGAATAAACAACTGAGCTAATGAACACGTAAGTAGCCCTGGCCGTTTTGCTAAATTTTGCATTTTTTCTTTCTTCCACTATCACTTGTATTTCTTTCTTCTTTATGTATGTCATTTTCCTGTCTGATTTTTGTAGTTACTTTCCTCTCTACCTGTTTCTTTCTCTTTTATTGTCTTACATTATCTCTCCAACTATTTCCTTCTCTCTGTTCCTTTTTTTTTCTCTATGTATTTCTCACTTCCTTTTTGTTTATATCTCTTCGCCCGTTCTCTACTTCTTTCTCCCTCTTGCATCGATTGTTTTTCATTCTCTCATTTCTCTTTCTGCCTTTCGTTTTCTTTACTTCTTTCTCTTCTTTCTGTGCTGTTTCACTTTATACCCCTCCCTTTCCTCTTTATCACCCTGAAATATGTCCTCCTCACCGTTTCTTCCCTTTCTCACTCGCGTGATATGCTATGCTATACTATACACGGCTATGCTATGCTCTGCTAGCGCACCTGGACAGCCAAATGGTCAAGACGATCGCCGTCGGAACGGATAGGTATGCGGGTTCGAGTTTCGACTCATGAAGGAATCTTTTTTATCCTAAAATTTCTCTTCCTCTCTTTTTATTTCACTCTCTCTCTCTCTCTCTCTCTCTTTGACTCTGTATTCGGTGCCTTGTTCATCAGAATCATTGAATTCCGCATAGGACAAATCGGCGGACGTGTTAATGAAAGAGAAATAGAAGATAACGATGACGATGAAGACGCGGACGAAGAGAGCACGTGCCGATTTATAGTAATGATTATCTTTTTTCGTGGCTCACGTAATAACGGTCGCCTTAAACAGCTCCGCTGCTAATATGAGAAAGAAATAGAGAGAGTAAAACGACTGTATTCGGTCCGCAAGAGACGCCAGTATAAACTCAACTTCGCCCGGCTAGATTCCGCTCGTGCACCACCAGGTTAAACCTGGCGGCCCACTCGAGGGCCCTGTGGATGACCAGAATTTGAGAAGCGTGCTCCAGGGCTTTTATACAGCTTTTTCATTTTCTCTTGGTGCACCTCGGTAGAATAAGAGAAAAAAAGAAGCATATGCTTTGGTAAGCTCCACCTTAAAATATTAGCTATCTCTCACAAGTTCAAGCCAAGAAACGAAAAATCGGGGCTCAGGTTTCAGAATAGGAGTCTTTGCGACCCTCCCAAGCAAAAAAGATTGAAAAGAAGGAATTCAGCAAATGTTGCATAATGTGGTTCGAACGACTTGATCGTGTACGCAGGTTATTGCTATTTAGTCGGATCACCAAAACAGTTAAGTAAACTACGGCTGTTTCAGAGCATTGAAAAATGGTAACATTGGGCATGGTGTTGGTTCGGACACTATATTCATTCCTTTTTATTATTTCCGCAGCGCGCGAGAAACATGATTTCACGATTACTACCCAGGCGTGCACAATTGTGTCAGTTTTATTTATTATCACATCTCGCTGTCGTTTTTTTTTGTTTTTGTAAATCTTCCTCTCATTCTTGGCACGCGTTTCGCTTTTTTTTTTCGCTTTTGAATGATTCCATAATTTCCCTGCTCTCAAAGTTGTCACAACTTGATAAAAACCAAAACAAAGCTTTTATTCTCGAAAATCACCTGCGTCACTGAACTCGCCTTCTAGTGGCGTATCTTTTACGATTTATTTCGTTGCTGCTAAACGATGTACTCTACTAAATGGGTGATAAAGTCTACAGCCATTAATATTTATATTTGAAGGGAAGACAAATCTGTATGGTGCTTTTATCAGTGACCCACCCTAACAATTTGAAAAGCTCTACGAAAAAGATTGCTTTTTTACTAAGATGCAGACTTGCTCATTAGTAAAAATGCATGTTGTGTAGTACATTTTATGAGTGCTTTAATGCATGCGTTGTGCATAAATTGTGAGATTGTTTTGAGAATATTTTGCCACTTATCCAATTATTAAAGCAGTCAGTGGCAATGTAGCGTGTTCTGGCTTGCAGTGCGAATTTGAAGCATTCCGATTGCGAGCCTAGACACACTCATAGAAAATGTTATGTATGTGCCTCTATCACTGTATAGAAGCAGAATATCGCTGTGCGGCAGGTTTTTTCCTCATACGTCTTTAAGGTCTGTCACAAATGCACTTCTGGTAGATACATGTGAACTTAATTTTCATGCTGACCCTCTCGTATGAGGGCGTTGGTGGTCTTGCTGATGCACTGCCGCACCGATCTCTCAACGACACAACATGCAACAACGACTCCCTCTGGAATGAGGCATCAAATGATTCTTTTTTTTTTGTATGCTTCAAATGGTGTTAGCTCCGCCGCGGTGGTTTAGGGGCTAAGGTACTCGGCTGCTGACCCGCAGGTCACGTGATCGAATCCCGGCTGCGGCGGCTGCCTTTCCGATGGAGGCGAAATTCTGTAGGCCCGTTTTCTCAAATTAGAGTGCACGTTGAAGAACCTCATGTTGTCGAAATTTCCGGAGCCCCCCACTACGGTGTCTCTCATGATCATATGGTGCTTTTGCAACGTTAAACCCCACATGCCAATCAAATCTTGAATAATGTTAGATATTTCGCACAAGCCGTTAATGTTGCTCTACTTACAACGACGTGTACCCATCGCAAGATGTGCAAGCTATTTACAATAAATGGCTTACGACGCAAATTTTTGTTCCTTCCGAGTTGTCGCATCTTATACAGGCTTTCGCAACAGTTCGCAGCTTTACAAAACCAGCTCATCTTCGTCCAATGCCTGTGAACGGGTGGCTGTTCATGCAAAAAGAAGTCGCTCTACAAAGCAAATTAATGCAGCGCCGATTTATTGCGTAGTCCTGTGGATAGTTCTTTAGAAGACTAACGTTTATAAACAGGTATTTCTCACGGGTCCTGTCGCAATTTTATAGGAGAGGCGTGTTAGTGTGTTTTTGATAACATAACGACGCGTCGCGCGCACTGATTTCACAATAATGGCGGTGGAGTGCTTGAACCACCCTTCAAGGCTAATCCTGCCTATTTTTATACACTTGCCAACTCTAGCTCGATTTGTTGTCAATATTTTTATTAGCTTTAAAATATTTGATGGAGCAACTAATCGGTGTCGTAAAAAATGCGTGCTTCTGCCGCAAATTCTCTAGAAGCGGGCTTCGCCACATCAAGGGTATTATTAAAAAGAAGCCGACTTTAACCCAAACATTTTATTCAATTTATCGGGTTCACTACAAAAGGGCACACGCCACGAAAAAGACATCTTTTGCGCACACTTCGTCCGGATAATCGGAACAGTTGTCTTCGCATCAAGGTTATAATAGTGGATGAGTATGCTTTGATTCACTCTGTGCTTGCGCTACATTTTATTTCGAATTCCGGCTTCCCCACACTACACACACTGTAGAGAGTTGCCTTCTCGTTAAGTATGCATAAATGAGGCAGCTTTCACGGATTGATACTCATCTATGTAAAAATAGGCTTCATCGCTTTACCGAAAGCATAACAGAGAAAGTAGCTTTGATCCTTTAGTACCTATTAATCCCTAAAACGGGCTTCTCCACGCTACGACTACTGGTGGTGAAAGCTGAAAACTTTAGGCACTGCACCGACCGAAGTAAAAATACAACGCACACACACACACAAAAAAAGGATATTTAGGGCTCACACACGGGAGACCTTGTCCTCAAGTAAAAATGCTACTCGTGTACAGGGCGCTTGTAAGGAAGGTGAAGTGTCCTCTTCCGTCTGTGCCTGTGTGTATGCGTGCGTGCATGCGTAGTACATTTTAGGGGCGAAGCTCCTTATGGCGTGGCTTGGGCGTCCCTCGTATGTAACCACCAGTGGCACATACCCCAAATAGGTATAACACTTGACCTCCAAGGTGGTGCCAGTGAGAGATTTCTTCTGTGCGTTGTTTAACAATAAAAAATAGTGCTCAATGTACATGCCAATGGCTGCTAATGGGGAATGAGAGACATGAGCATTCGGCTTTTAGTCAACGCGCACGCTGCGATCCCCATTAGCAGCCATTGGCATGTACATTGAGCACTATCGGACAAGAAAGGGATGCTACATTATACTCGCTGGGTGTAACCTCCTTAGCTTTAGAAAGGTTTAGCGAGCGTTGAGCCGCAGTGCCATGAATACAATGAACTAGTATATACCATGAACTCAAGGTGGTTAGAAATGAGAAGTAGATACGAAGCGCAAGCCGTAAGAAAGTAAAAGCCGAATTCTCCTGTCTCTCATTTCTCATTAGCAGCCATTGGCATGTAAATTGAGCCCTATCTGACAGGGAAAGGTTGCTACGTTATACTCGCTGGGCATAACCTCCTTGGTTTTCGAAAGGTTTAGCGAGCGTTTGGTCGCAGTGCCATGAATACAGTGAACTAGAATATACCATGAACTCAAGGTGGTTAAAGGTGGGAAGTGGACCCAAAGCGCAGGCCGTAAGAAAGTGTGCGTGTGCCACCTCTCGTTTAGTCCTTGGAATGTCCGCTGGATGGCGGTGCTTCTATATGGGGAATATATGATGAAAAGATGCGAGATGGTGGTACTTGGAGTGTTGAATAGATGGACGAACGGACACATAGACAGATGCATGGATGGACGCATGAACGGACGCAAGGGCGGCTGCATGGACGAACGCAGGGACGGGCGCACAAACAGACGCATGGACGGTCACACAGACGGACGCATGGACGGACGAATGCTTCGCCCCATTCTCCATCATTCACTCCGTGGATATGCTGCCATTTTTTTTTGTTCGGTCGGCGCAGTACCTCGGTTTTTCTACCTTCACCGTGTATTACCCCGACCAGACGCGCTTCCGTCAAACTTTACACTTCAAAAAAGCACCGATGTGGAGAAGCTGTGCCTTCAGCGCATGTTGGTTGCATTTTTTATCAGCCTATTTTGCCGCGATTATCGTGAACAAGGTGTGTTCGACTGCATGTGTTCGAAAAAGAGGTAGTAGAAGATTATCTTTCCGAATAGAGCCAACACTGTAACGTCCCTCCGTGTTTCGTGTCAAGGATTTTCAGTTGAGCTCTACACACGTCAAGCGGAGCTGCGTCAAGCGGAGCTGCGCAGAGCGGAGCTATTCACAGCTCAAACAGTAGAAAGTTTCCGGGAATGCGGCTCGTACGTATTGCTATAGTAAGCCAATTGCCCCCGATGTGCTCGACTGCCGATCACTCGAACCAGTCGGCCGGTGGTTTTCCTAGCCTGGCGGGGAAAAAAAAAAGAAAGAGGACAGTGACCCGTCTGGTTAGATCGAAACTCTGGTTTCCGTCATGACGGAATGGGCATCAGCAGCGAAATGACTAGGCGATAGAAGAGTCGCTCGCATGTTTATTACTTCCTTTCGAAGGCCCCTTTCTGTGCTGAAAAAAAGGCGCCCAGACGCAGAGGGAGAAAACAGAATACATTACGTTTTTTTAATATTTTTTGTCCTGGCCGGGTTTTTCCGGTGTTGCGGGTGCGCTGTTCAGATGCGATCAATACTGACAGCCGCTCGCACGAGAGCGGCATTCCAAACTACTGATCTGGGAAGATCGCCGCGTTCCAGCGCCGCAAAATTGCCTTTCACCGCTGGGAAATGTATACGCCCCGCGCCCGCAAGTTTGATGCTTCTATTTAGCACGCGATGGAGCTTTCGACTTTGCTAGGCGTTACTGTTTACAGCGCTCGACAGAGGTTCCGGTACACGACGGGGCAGAAATGAATGAACTTCTCACGAAAATTACTTATAGCGTATCAACGACGCAGCAGGCAAAAAGTAATGCACAAGGGACAAGCGCTACTCATACAACTTCGTATCGAATTGTAAGTAGCGTACAAGCAGTTGCAAGACAGTTGTAAGCATAGCGCTTTTTTCTTGTGTATTTTCCTTGAAGGCTGCATTTTTGTTGTGCTATATGTGAATTTTGCCAGTATGCACAAATTACGCCCTAAACAAGTCATGTTATCTAGTTCTAGTCATTGCAATATGGGTGTCAAGTAGTTAAGCAGGATGTGCTTAAACAGCTTGTCTTTATAAAGCGTTTTGACCCCCCCCCCCCCCCGTCACCTTCTTTCTCAACCAATCAGTAGCAGAAGACCAGTATGAGGTCCGTCTGATAACTCAAGGCCCCGAGAGGCAGCTATATCTGGAGAACTGGGCCAAGCTCTTCGCTCAAGTCCCCCTCATTCCAGGTGGCCTGAGACTTAGGCCGGTCGTTTCTTTTTTAAAGACGATAGTCTTTCTAGGGACACTTGAACGCACAAGTTTTGGTGTCTGTCTGTCTGTCTGTCTGTCTGTCTGTCTGTCTGTCTTGTCTTGTCTTGTCTTGTCTTGTCTTGTCTTCTTGTCTGTCTGTCTGTCTGTCTGTCTGTCTGTCTGTCTGTCTGTCTGTCTGTCTGTCTGTCTGTCACACGATATAGCAACCCAGCCAAAGTTTAAGCACTTGCTGAACGCCCAGCCGTCTTGAACTGGTGGCTGCGTTCATACTTGTGAACATTGTCGATCGAAAAGCAAATATTACGCATATCTGAGGTGCAACATCAATGCGTAAATATTAGGCGGCGTGTTCCTTTACTAAAATTACATAGATACATAATTCTAAAGGCCTTGTGTTTCTTAGGCTGCGCTAAAAATGAGACGCTATGCACAAAAAAAGGCCGGCAGCAGACTATCGTCTTTCGGCGACATTTGCAGTGAAACACGCAGATACGCGGCCAAATTCTATCCTATCAGTTTTTTTTTTCAGTTAAAGCGTTTCAGGTATGACGCGAAGCTCCAATGAGCGCACACAATCTTGAAGAACTTGTGTTTAAAGGCGAAGCTCCTCCTAATGTAACCTTGTCCTGCGTCAGGCGTAACCGACAGTATCAGACAGACAGACGCGCCAACGAACGCACGGATGGACAAAGGAACGAACGAACGAACGAACGGACGGACGGACGGACAGACAGACAGACAGACAGACAGACAGACAGACAGACAGACAGACAGACAGACAGACAGAAAGACAGACAGACAGACAGACAGACAGACAGACAGACAGACAGACAGACAGACAGACAGACAGACAGACAGACACGGACGGTGGACCGAAAGACGCGTATGGATGGACACTTCGGCCTACTCATCATCATTCACTCCCTGGATATACTGGCATTTTTAGGTACAGTTGGCGTGTCATCAGCTTTTTTTTTTTTGTGGCATTTAGTAACATGCTAGGGTCATTCAATTTAAGTAGTATGCATAATTCACTGTAAAAAAAAACGCGGGATTGACCTTTCTTGGTGTATGTGTGTGAGAATACTTGCTCTAGAACTTGCGTCTTACTGGGTCACCTCCGGCCTGGAAATGGGCGCCACTGCGGTGGCACGCGAAGTGTAGAACTTTTAGAGTTGGATGCACTGAATGGTGCTTTCAAGAGCGTGTGATTCGGTTAGTTGCTGAAACCTGATTATTTCTTCCCATTCATTCATTCATTCATTTATTCATTCATTCATTTGTTCATTGTGGGAGGCGTTGGGTGTCGCTTGCGTGTGCCTAAAGCTCCACGTGTGGCTCGGTGAATCGCAGGAGCCCGAACCCGACGACATGGTGGCAGGCAGCCGGGCCGCCGCTCGGCGCGTGCTGCTGACGCGCGACCCCCGGCGAGGAGGCCTGGGCGTTCGCGTGGTGGGCGGCAAGCGCATGAGCAACGGCCAGCTGGGAGCGTACGTGGCCCGCGTCAGCCGGCCCGACACGCTGGGACAGCTGAGCGAGGGCGACCGCGTGCTCGAGTGGAACGGCGTGCCCCTGACGGGGAAGACGTACGAGCAGGTGCAACGCATCATGGACACGCACACCACGGGAGACGAGGTCGAACTGCTCGTGCAGAGGTACGCTTGCATGCACGCACACCGGAAAGATACTTTGCCCACTTTGTAGAACCATGCAAACATTCCGCTCTTTGCAGATGTCTCGGCTTTTCTCCTCCGTTTCTCTCTCTCTATAACGATACGTCCAGGCGAGGCTGAAGCAAGGAGGATTGCTACTAACAATGCAGAGGCGTAGCCAGAGAATATTAAGGCCTTAGGTGTTTCGTGAAACGCGTAAATTGACCACCGTGACGGCGTCTTGACCTCTGACGTCGTGGTGACGTCACAGGTTCTACAAAATATGTGACGTCATCACGACGCCGTACTTGTGTCACCATGACGTGACAACATGATGTGGCGCCACATGATGTCGTCATCACACAACGTCGCCTCTTGGTCAGAGTTGGACCGTTCATGGGGGCACTGGGAGACCACGTTTGGTGCATTAAACTTTCGGGCGGGATCAGTTCAGTCGACTGAGAAGAAGAAGAAAAAGAAATAAGAGTGCTTTCACCTACCACTCGTCCTAGGCAAATGCGTGTGGGACTGTGCGACATATTTTTCAGAGAGGAGGGGGCTAATCAACTTTTATGTACGTTCGTGCGTGTGTGTAGACGTGTGATTAGTACATTGTGATTAGTCACCATATATAGTGCATTGGCTACGCCAACGTACTAATGACCGGCTGTGACTGATAAGTACACTCCACACAACCCCACCATACCTTACCACCACTAACCACTCGTGTTGATCCACCGGTCACAGAGCGATTGCAGGCGTAAGGACGATTCAGCTGTGATAGTAAGATAAAATTAAATCGCACGCTTTAAGCCTTTATGTTGCTACTACTACTACTACCACTACTACTACTACTACTACTACTACTACTACTACTACTACTACTACTACTACTAATAATAATAATAATAATAATAATAATAATAATAATAATAATTTATTTCTATCGAAGATGAAGGTGGCTGGTAAAAATTGCTTGAGAAACAAGCCGCTTGACCTAATACACAAGAAATATCAGTCGGACTTTAGTGCTTTCATTTATTGTATTATTACTCTAGCCATATTAAATCGCCGTGCTCATAACTTTTTTTTCTTTCTTGTCTAAATGTAAAAGTGGACAACCGCAGAAACAGGCCTTAAGGCCTCTGGTCAACACGCGTGGGTAAAACGGTGCACCCTGCTATTCGTTTATTATTTTTTTGCTCGTAGAATACGCAACGCTGAAAAACGGAGCTTATGTCTAACTGTTTCTAAGAGATGACATTACCATTCGCAGTGACTGGGACTCCTTCGAGAGCCCTGTACCCACACAACGACGCCGCCAGCACGGTAAGTTTCGGCAACTGTCGCTAGAGTCGCTTTAACTGGTGCGTGGAGCTAGGCTCCTTTTGTTGCAAAATATGACGCTCTCGCAGAGCGCTCCAGAAAAATTCACACCTATATTCAGCACCTATATTCAGCACACCTATATTTAATTGGCACAGCATTAGGCAGCACTTGCAAAGTACCAGCTAGTCAAAAGAGGGCCAGAAATAAAATACCATTGAAAATGCGCCCTCCCCCCTTTTCACAACGAGAACTTAATCATAGGGTGTAGGGAAGCCACGTAAGTTGTACGTTGGTAAAGAAGTTGGGTCAGTAGAACGAGATGACCATGCCTTGCGTACTGTGTCAAAATTGTGCCAGAACGCGTCAGCCTGTAGCTTTACTAAACGCAACACAGTCGAATACGGATATATCAAATCTCTGTAGCATCATAAAAGAGCTCTACATACCGTTAATTATGAAATATTCCATGCAGAGGTATACGAAATATTACACGGAGTATATATGTTCAACGAAATTTCGCAGCTGTTCGATATACGCAATAGTTCGTTATATGTGGCAACACCACGCTTCGCCAAGGCGGATGCAAAGGCTAAAGCTGTGAATGCCGTTTTCCCCGAAGGCAGGAGAGCACGGTTCGAGTGGAGCCCGCCCAACGAATGGCCGCAGACGACAGCGGAGATGCTGCAAGCGCCACCGCCGGCATCACTACGCCCCTACAGGTCAGTGCATTGCTCTTGTGCAGGGGCTCCAGTTCTCGCTTCTCTCGAACATAACCGATCTGAAGACATTGTGAAAACGGCAAGCGCACGAGCACGCGTGAACAAGAAGGCGCCAGCGTTATCCGTGTCGTGTTGTTGCCGTCGTCAGGTTTTCGCCGTTTTCTTAATGTCACATGTATCAAGTACAGCTCAAACCCAGCCTCCGATCTGATGAACCACGCTAAATAAATAAATGAATAAATAAATAAATAAATAAATAAATAAATAAATAAATAAATAAATAAATAAATAAATAAATAAATAAACAAATAAATAAATAAATAAATAAATAAATAAATAAATAAATAAACAAAAACGTTGCTTTAGACCGGGCGCGGTTGCGCGCACCGCACTTTGAAAGAGATCAGCAGACGGTTCCCCTTTGTACGTGCTGCCATCTCACCGTTCTGTTTGGTTGATGCGATAGCACGAGGTCACTTTGATCACTGTAGCGGCCGCGTTTCCTTACATCATGGAGGTTACATACTGTGGACCTGCTGCTAACATTACTTCTTATAACATTTCGTTTTGTTGCTGTCACATTCATTGTTTCATCCTAGCGAAAAAGCATTCTAATATATTGCACTTGGTGTCGTACGACGCCACCACCGAAATAGAGTGATAGAAGCGAATTCGATTAAAAGAAATTCAGCACTTCGGAGTGTTCTTAGTATTCAACCCCTTGGCAACACGAGTTTCACAGAAACGAAACCGGAGAAGATCGACCTAATTACACGCCAGGTAATTAAAGCACCGTCTCGAGGCGGCGCAACCGGATCGTATCCCGATTAAGGACGTCCGGGTAATTAGACTGAGCTAGTTGGTTCGTGCGTTTACACGGTTTGAACAAAATTGAACAGCTGGACCGGCAGTCTTAAGATGGCGAAACGTACGACAAGGACTGCAGCTGTCATACAAGCTTTATTTCCGCACAACCACTCATCACAACACGTAGCGTCATTCAGAAATGATGATGATGATGATATGTGGGATTTTAACGTCCCAAAACCACCATATGATTATGAGAGACGCCGTAGTGGAGGGCTCCGGAAATTTTGACCACCTGGGGCTCTTTAACGTGCATGTCATTCAGAAAATACATTCGATATTCCTTGAATAAGAACTAAAGTAAGCGGATTCTTCGCGATCACTTCTAGAGTCATATGCGATTGATATTCTAACAAGAGACTTGAAGTTTGTCATCTGAAGAGTCAATTGCCACTGTGCAATGTGACCCCGCCTTAATTATGTCCTCCCCTCCCCACCCCCGCCCAATATAAAAAAAAGTAAAACCGGAACGTTTCGCCCCTTCTCCGAACGAGGGAAGAGGTGGAAGAGGTGTAAATTCGGCTTTGTAGCTTTTTTATGATTTTACAGACAGCGCGTGGAAACTCGTATGTCTCATTTTAAACGACGATGAATAGTGATGGAAACTTCCTGCGTGCGCCCATGCACTTTGCTTGTGGTGAACGTAAATTGACAAGCGCATCATCGAGGATTACGCACGCAGTTTGCGCAGGTGAGCTCATCCGTCTGCTTTTAAGCCGGAGTTTAAACCTTAGAAACCTCTTCAAGCACGAAAATTTGCGGCGACGTCAACGCGAGTGATGCAAAAAAAAAAAGAAATAGTGATCACGTAATGACGTCATCACATGACATCGTCACTTTGTCAAAGGGTGGCCGATCGCTGAGCCAGTCCAAAAACAAATGAGGTGCCTCCGATCCTGGAGGCAGTGCCAAACCACGTGAGGTGCAGGAATGTTTCTGTAGGTGTCGGGGCAGGACTTAAAAAAAAAAAAAAAACAGAGGTAGCATATACAGGAACTCTAGGTTTTAGAGTTCCTGTTAGGTAGCAGAGCAGCGGAACTCTGTTGATCATCGAGTTACATCAAATAAACGTTAAGTGCGCGGTTTACAGTTGCTCCAACCGCACAAACAACATGCTCAACGACGAAAATTTTCAACGGGTAGACTTGGTGCCGAAAGTCAAACTAGGAGACTGTGCGAAAACAACTGATCTGTCGTCAAGGCGAATAGCTGGCTTTACGTTCGGCTAGGCCGGGACGAATCGGCGTCGTATACACATATAGTTTGCGAGGCATGCAGCTCCATCTTGTGAGCACGCTTCACCGAAGCGAGCTATAACATGCACGTGCAGAGCCACGACAGCAGTGTTTTTTTTTTTCTAGAATGCCTGTGAGTGGCGGAGCTGCACAGTGATGGTAACATAAATCAATGTTTAGCTTACGCGATTAGATGCCACGAGCACGATCTCAGGCACCGAAGGAACAAACATGATCGGTAACTTGGCAACATAATCTAGTGAACAGCTACTGGAAAGTGCGATGGGCTGGCAACCACATCAGCGATTTATTACTTGCACTAGCACAATCTCTACGGATAGCTAAGGGAATAATAGAGAGAGAGAGAGAGAGAGAGAGAGAGAGAGAGAGAGAGAGGAGAGAGAGAGAGAGAGAGAGAGATGAGAGCAAAAGCGCGTAGTCACAGACATGTGGCCTACCTTTGCAGCGACGGCGACGAAGAGCTTCGTCCGAGGTTGCTTCACGATTGGATTGGATCGGATAAACTTTTATTTGGTCCTCCAAAACACAGATCACTGTGTTGCGGGCAGCTCCCACGCGGGGACTGAGATGCCAAGCTCCTCAGCCGCCTCGCGGGCTTGGTGGACAGCCCAGAGCTGATCTGCCAAGGACGAGCTGCGGATTGCCACCTCCCATCTGGCAGAGGTGATGTGCGATAAATGAGCGAATTTGGTGCACTGCCAGAGCATGTGTTCTAATGAAGCTATTTCCCCACAATGTGGACAAATATTACTTGGGTATAGGTCAGGGTACATGATGTGTAACATTTTCAAAGTAGGGTACATCCGCGTTTGCAAAAACCTTAATGTAAGTGCTTGGGGCCGGGTTAGATTTTTGTGAGGTAAAGGGAAAATCCTTCTAGACAGGTAGAAATGTTTAGTGAGCTCGTTATATGTTGTAAGAATTTCCCGGCTATCCCCTTCACCGGTAGAACGCATCCCCGGGGAGGCGCGGTTGGAGAGTTCTCGCGCCGCCTCGTGTGCTGCTTCGTTGAGATTGGGAGGGGAATCGTTGATTTGTCCAAGGTGAGCTGGGAACCAACTCAGAAGATGATGTGTTATGTTCTTGCCTTGCAGTATTTTCAGCGTTTGTTCACAGACCGTCCCCTTGGCGAACGCCCGTAGTGCTGACATGGAATCACTGTAGACGACTTCAATGTTATCCATCTTGAGTGCTAAGGCGATGGCCACTTGTTCCACAATGATTGGGTCTTTCGTCCTGACCGTCGCTGAGTTGACGACATGGCCAGCGCCATCGACTACCACTGCCACAAACGCTTTTCCATTGGCGTAGGAAGCCGCGTCAACAAATACGACCCCTCGTTCCTCGTTTGAGACTTGACGAAGTATGGTCCTGGCCCTCGCTACTCTTCTTCTGACGTTGTGTTCTGGATGCATGTTTCTCGGTATAGGAGATACCGTGATAGTCTCCCTGATGTTGTCAGGGATATGATTGTAATTGCGTCTGATTGCTATTGGGTGTTGGCCCAGCTCCTGCAGGATTATTCTTCCCGACCTTGTAGTAGATAACCTTGCAAATTGTGCTCTCTCTTGGGCTTCTGCTATTTCTTCGAGCATGTGGGCGAGGCGGCAGCGTGCCTGCAACTATGCTGAACAAGCACGTCTTTTTCCTTGTGCAGATGCTGGTCGCCATTTCGTCCAGCCCTGTGCCGGCATCCGATCAGGATTTCTGCCCAGCCGACGTTTCTCGTGCCCTATCTGGCGAAGAACACGGAAATTCAACATTCATGAACTTCTGCAGTTTCATCGAACAACCAGGCGCCTCGTGTGCACTTGCGAGCCATGCCTTCACCTCCTTTCACGTGACGTCATCCGGCCCAGGACTTACATACTCGCCGCCACCCCTGCGCATCTTCAGTGGGCGAGGCGGCAGCGTGCCTGCAACTATGCTGAACAAGCACGTCTTTTTCCTTGTGCAGATGCTGGTCGCCATTTCGTCCAGCCCTGTGCCGGCATCCGATCAGGATTTCTGCCCAGCCGACGTTTCTCGTGCCCTATCTGGCGAAGAACACGGAAATTCAACATTCATGAACTTCTGCAGTTTCATCGAACAACCAGGCGCCTCGTGTGCACTTGCGAGCCATGCCTTCACCTCCTTTCACGTGACGTCATCCGGCCCAGGACTTATATACTCGCCGCCACCCCTGCGCATCTTCAGTGGGCGAGGCGGCAGCGTGCCTGCAACTATGCTGAACAAGCACGTCTTTTTCCTTGTGCAGGTCAGTTACCTTAGCGGTGCTAAATGTTTTCGAAGCAATGATCCTTTCTTGTCCTGCTGCCTTGCCCACAGAAGCGAAAATGTGCATTTTGTAGTCTACTATGTTCGTTAAGTTCTTTCTTTTTTGATGTGCTATTACTGTGCGGTGACGTTGAGCAAAACCCAGGGCCTAATGATGATAAGGTATCACGCCAACTGCGCAGCTCAAAAGTAGACTCTGAAAGTGATCATGAATTACTACTTCACGTTCTTGAAGGCCAAAAGGAAATAATTCGCCGTATGAACGATTATAGCACGGCGCAGACTTCTTTACAGGACACCTTAGTTCAGCTCAAAGACAGGCTAGATTCCTTGGAGGCATCGGTCACACCGATTGCCAATGCTCAGGAGCAATTTGCTTCTATGAAATCCCACATGCAGAGCATAGATAAAAGCATTGCCTCTATTGCTGATAAAGTTGACGATCTCGAAAATCGCAGCAGGCGAAATAACATTATTATTCACGGTTTTCGTGAACCCGCAGATGAAACATTGTCATCTCTGTGTGAATGTGTTTCTAGGGATTTTTTTCAAGAAAAGCTTCAGCTTTCTATAAATGGTATGGAAAGATGTCACCGGATTGGATCAAAACGCCCAAACAAAACGAGACCAATCGTTATTAAATTACTTGATTATAGAGAAAAACAATCAATTCTAAAGAACTGTGGCAAACTAAAAAATTCTGGTATGTATGTGACCGAAGATTACTCAGAAAAAGTACGGAACATAAGAAAAAGGTTGTGGGATTGTACCAGTGTACACAGAGAACGCGGGGATCGGGTTAAACTTTCCTACGACAAGGTGTCTGTCAATGGAACTCTGTATACCTGGGATGAAGCATCTAACGATAAGGTTGCAGTTTCTAGAAACGCAAAACAATGACCCCAGCACCCTCCCTTTTCGTTGAAACTGCTCAACGCAAATTGTCGAAGTATTGTGCGCAAGGGCCTCGATTTAGAGCACTTAACTTCAATTCACGATCCTGACGTAATCGCCTTAACCGAAACATGGCTTCACAACGGTGTCTTCGATAGCGAATTCACGCCCCCTCAGTTTTGCGCTCACAGGAGAGATAGGAATTTCAGGGGTGGGGGAGTGGCACTTCTGTTTCGAAAAGGCTTAAAAGTAGTACGCTTGTCCGAGCCACCTGGAGCTGAAGCTATGTTCTGCAAATTGTTTTTTGAAAACGAATGCCTAGTAATTGGAGTAGTTTACAGACCACCCGGCGAAGATGTAAAAGTCCTGGAAGAGCTGAAGGCATTTATAGCTTCCCTTATATCGCAAAACACAAAGCTCATTCTTTGCGGTGATTTTAATTTGCCGGGAATCGACTGGAATACATTTTCAGCTACTAATAATGATATAGTGTGTGGTGAAGAACTTATCGACATTGCGTTTCGCTTTGATCTAAGACAAATAGTTAAGGATTGCACACGTGTTCACGGTGAGTCTAAATCCATTCTGGATCTCGTTTTTGTTCGAAGCAACATTCCGGGAACTATTGAGTGTGATGTAGTTGATGGCATCTCCGACCATCATGCGGTGCTTGTACAGTTTCCTTCTTTAAAGGCGACGAAACATGTTAAGGTTATAAGTTTTCATGACTTTGCAAGAGCTGATGATGTATCTATTTTGGAAATGTTGGAATCATCTTACGACGATTTCTTTCGCAGTGTTCACACATGTGATGTTAACGCTTTGTGGGTAAAATTTAGAAACATGGTCCATGCTTGCATACAACTTTTGTACCCCTTAGAACTAAAAAAACTAACGTATCCAATCCTTGGATTACACGGGACATTATTCATTTAAAAAGGAAGGTTAAGCGTTTGAAGAAAGCTAAAAAAAAGCTCCACCATAACACAAATATTCATAATCAAATCTTAAGCGTATCTAAAGAACTTAAAATTAAGATGCGAGAAGAGAAACATAATTTTTATAATGTTAGGCTGAGTAAAATGATAAAAGAGTCCCCTGCCTCTTTTTGGAGGTTCATAAAACCGGTGATCTCAAATTGTGATACCTTCATTGTAAATAATGCTTCTACCTCTGATGCTACTGTAATTGCCAGTGAATTTAATGATTACTTCAAATCTGTATTTGTCACAGATGATGGAAGCTCCCCTTTTTATAAAAAATTTAGTGATCTGCCCCCTATAGAAAATTTAGATGTATCAGAATCTGGGGTACTTAATTTATTGTTAGACCTGAATATAAAAAAAAGTCCTGGTCCAGATGAAATACCCAATGCGTTTTTAAAGCGGTACGCGTTATGGTGCGCCAAGTATCTTACATTAATTTATAACTTATCTCTGTCCACTGGTCTTTTACCTGATGACTGGAAGACGTCGATAGTTAAACCCCTACATAAGCAAGGCGATAAACACCTGATAGCCAATTACAGACCAATAGCCCTCACCTGCACATGCTGTAAACTATTGGAGCACGTAATTTACAAGCATGTTATGAAATTCTTGGAAGCCAACTCAGTTTTATCACCTGCACAGCATGGTTTCAGGCATGGGTTCTCCACCGTCACACAACTAGTTGAGGTAATTCATGACTTTGCTTCGGCGATCAACAATCATACTCAAATTGACGCTATTTTTCTGGATTTCACCAAGGCGTTCGATAAACTGTCGCACCCAAAACTACTACTTAAAGTTTCGCACATCTTAAAGAATAGTACAATTTGTAACTGGATAGAGTCTTACTAACTTCTAGAAAACAGTGTGTCTCGTTTAATCAAGCTACTTCAACCATGCTTCCGGTTTCTTCGGGAGTACCCCAAGGATCGGTGTTAGGACCATTATTATTTTTACTCTACATCAATGATATTGCTGACAATTGTAATGTAAAAATTAGGTTGTACGCGGACGACTGTGTAATTTACTCCGTTATTAACTCTATTAATGATCAACTGCAACTGAACAGGGAACTTCATCAGCTTTTCCAATGGTGCAATACATGGCAAATGTCAGTAAATCTTAAGAAAAGTGTTGTCATGTCTATCACAAATAAAACACATATACACTCATTTGACTACACAATTGACGGTACCATCCTATCTCGCGTCGAGCACTACAAGTACCTTGGTCTTCACATTCGTAGCGACCTGCGCTGGAATGATCATATAACAGAGATCACTAACAAAGGAATGTCGAAACTGCATTACTTAAAACGCTCCCTTCGTCATTCTTCTTGTGATACTAAGCTTATAGCATTTAAAACACTTGTCTTACCTATTCTAGAGTACGCTAATATTGTTTGGGACCCCTTTACCCAATCTAATATTAATAAGCTAGAAAGAGTCCAAAACAAAGCCGTAAGATTTATTTTCAATCGCTACGATAGGGTCTCGGTCTCAGGCTTAGTGGCTAAGGCTAATCTGAAGCACACTTCGGCGAGGAATAAAATCGCACGATTACGTTTTATGTTTAAAATAGTTAAAGGTCATCTCAACGGCAGTATATCCAATTATGTGCATTTTTCAACAGGTTATGATACCAGAATGCGACATTGTTTTTCAATCACTCCATATCAAACGGCTAATAATGTTTTTAAGTATTCTTTTTTTCCGCGAACGATCGATGAGTGGAACGCCCTGGATGCACCCACCGTTGAGGCCAACAGTGTGGAATTGTTCGATTCATTGCTTGCCGGTTGATTGTGTGGAGTTCCTTTCTTATGCTTTGCTTGCCTTTCGCCTTATATTTCGGCCTGAATGGGTGTCCGTTTTTGTTTCTGGTTTTTTCTTTATACATTGTGCGCCTGTTTACATTGTGCGCCTGTACATTATACATTGTGCGCCTGTTTTGTTTAACTAATTGTGTTGGTTCTTTGCTTTGTATTGTCTTCATTTTTTATTGTAACCCCACTCTGCGGCGACTCCACCAGGAGTTAGCAGTATTGTCAAATAAATAAATGTTGTGTATGCCAAGCTCAAGCAGACGCTCGGTGCTGGTATGTATGGGTAGGCCCAGGACCTTCTTGATAACTTTCCTGAGGAGCACATTCAGTGTCTCGGACTCTGCTCTTGACCAGTTGTGCATTGCTGCCTCGTATGTGAAGTGACTTAGAACAAACGCATGCATCAACCTGATGAGGTTGTCTTCCTTGATCCCATTTATTTTGTTGGCCACCCTGCGTATGAGGTGCACCGCACTGTCTGTTTTCCGAGTTAACTTGCCTATAGATTTGCTGTTGGTGCCGGTAGACTCTATCAGCATTCCCAGGACTTTGATGGAGTCGACCCTCCGGATGGCATCCCCTTGATTTGTGCGGAGATGGATGTCTATCTGGTTTAACGGCTTCCATCCCCTGGGCTTCGGTCCCCGGCGTGCAGTCCGATAAAGCAAAAGTTCTGACTTACTCTAGGAGCACTTGAGCCCGGAAGGGCGAAGGTAGTCTTCTACGGTGTCAATCGCCTCTTGCAGAGCGCTCTCAATCCGCCCCTCGCTTCCACCTGTGCACCAGATGGTAATGTCATCTGCGTAGATGCTGTGCTTCAATCCTTCAATGCTCGATAATTTCTTTGACAGTCCAATCATGGCAATGTTGAACAGCATTGGTGAAATCACTGCCCCTTGTGGCGTGCCCCTTGCTTCTAGTTCGATTGCTGCGGTTTCGATATCTGCAATCTTCATCACGGCTTTCCGATCTGTAAGAAAGGACCATACGTAGTCATAGAAGGCTTTCCCTAGACCAAGCTTGGAAATTGCTTCGAGTATGAATGAGTGGTGGATGTTGTCAAACGCTTTTTCTAGATCTAGGCACAGAATGGCTCTCACGTCTCTGGTTTCATTGTCAATGACCTGGTGTTTGATAAGCTTCAATGCATCTTGTGTGGATAACCCTGCCCTGAATCCAACCATATTGTGTGTATATATGTCGTTATCTTCCAAGTACTTGTTTATCCTGTGCAGTATGGCATGTTCTGCGACCTTGCCGATACATGATGTC